TGATTAATGGAAAAAGGTGAAATGAAACAATACAACTGAAATACGTTAATTTTGTTTTTTAAAAAAAGTATAAAGAATAGTGGAAACAAAAGTTGCAATACCGGTTCTATCACAGAGACATTACGAATGAATAAGTGAACAAGTTTGTTGTTCAATATTTAGAGTAAAACGATTACGAGGTGGTCGTGCTTAGTAAACCATTAAGAGTTGGGATTACAGGGAAGAACAAATACTAAGATTCTGTTTGGATTGCATTTTTTTATGATTTTTCATGAAAAAATTACTGTAGCAATTTGATGTATGTGAAAAAAAAAGATAATAGAAAAATGTGATTACGGAAAACGATATAATTTTTCAACGAAAACAGCAATCCAAACAAATTCTAAGAGTTTATTGTTCATAACTTACTGTTTACTCGTTTCAGACCACTAATGCCGGCACATTTTTCCTCGTCCACATGTCCATGTAATGCTGGGACACGCAAGAGGTGCCACGGCACGTTCCTACCATAAAGGAATCGCATTCCCAGGAATATTTTGGCAGAGCAAAGGAGATGATGAGTCACGGCTGCCCAATGGTAGCCGTACAAGTTACAATAATAGGACCCAACATAGAAGAAATGAAAATACAAAATAAAAATGAGAAAATTTGACTATGACGACGTGCACGTGAAATGATTCCCAGGGCAAAATGAAAGAAAGAGGGTTGGGGTCATTTTATGCAACTTCTATTGTTTACTTTAGACTCCTTCGATGAGGATCAAAGTTTGATGGGCCCTCTATTATTTGATTCTATACTTTAGCAGTACTATTGAATGTACGGTTTTTTCCAAAAAAAAAAATTACGGCTAGTCATGTGTAACGCTTTACACGCTTTTGCCAAATTTAGAGGGAAATTAAATTATACGTCCCATTTTTTGTTTAAAAAAATGATAATATTTTTATAATCTAATCTATTTTAATCTAGAGAAAGGGGAGTCTAAAGAGACTCTATATACAGGAGCATCTTCTTTTGATTTTTTCACTGGAGATAGAATTTGAATTTTTGACCTACAGGTCAAAGAGAGACTTTACTCCTTTTTTTATGATTACTGAACCAAAATTCAATGGTTTACACATCCCATCTAATTGACAAAAATTTAGATATACTTATTCTAGGGCTCCATCTGTAGGTCAAATGGCTCAAAATTTTCCATGTCATCACTAGGCTGACAAATCCAAAATCCAAAAACTGTCTTTTTTCCCCCTATTTCCATTTGTGGTTTTTGTGCTGCAGAAGAAAATGTCAGATTTCCTCCTCAAACTCCATCTAACTGTTTGCTAAGATCTCCAAACTCTCCCAATCATTGAGTGTGTTTGATAAGAGATCACTTCGAATAATTTTTTGAAAAAATATCTAGCACTTTTTTTATGTGATGTATGTGAAATAGAAAATTTATTGAAAAATGTGTTGACGATGCAAATGATTCAATGTGTACAAATAACATGCAAATAATGCGTAATCCAATCAAACTAATTATTTTTCATTGATCTATTAGTTTCTGGCTATTTGATTTTCTTCAAACTTTGTTTTGCTTTTGAAAGAACAATTTCAGACCCTAGGTTTTGCGAGAAAAACGAGGAGAATCTGAAAGCTGTGGTAACGAGGTTCGGTGGAGTTCCACCGAGTAACCATTTCTACAACAATGACATGAAAATATCTCCGCCGTTGCCAACAAAGGATTTGGTTAGGGAAGAGGAGGATGACTGAGGATCAATTAAAATGTAAGGGAGAGTTTTCCTAAATATACTACAAAGAATGAGGATTTTGGTGTTTAAGAGGAGGAGGAAGGGAATGTCTGATATGGGTGCTGCCTTCTCCAGTGATATAATCTGCCGTCTCCTCCAATGATATGGGTGCTGGATGGTGATGGAGGAATGAGTAGGAGAGGAAAGAGTGTCACATTATTAATTAATGAAATTATTCATAACTTCTTGCTTAACTGGAATGGCATACTGCATAACTCTGCAATTGCATTTGTCTCTCTTTTCTTTTTAATCGATCTTTTTGTTTTAAAATACAATACTAGTACACTTCAAAATCCCATCTTTTAACTGTCTGTTTGCTTTCGTTCCCATACTCATATCAACTTTCTTGTAAGATTTCTAAACCTGACCTCACCACTATCTTTTTTTCTCATTTTCTGTAATTTTTGATTAGATTTCATATGTAATTTGTGCATTTGGGTTTTCTTCAAAACTCATGAACTTAACCAAGACAAGAATTTGTTTTGTGAGAAAGAGGGGAAGAAGACTTGGAAAAGGAAAACGAAGAAGAAGACGACGGCAAGTTTCGATGGAAGTGGATTGAGCAGTGGTGGTGGCGGCACGGAACAAGGGGAAGGGAATGGTGTGTTTGGTTTTTGGTGGCGGCACAGTACAAGGAGGAAGTGATGGTGGTGGTAGTGACGGAAATTGGGAAGTTGGGATTAAGACGGTGGGGATAGAGGATCTGTTTTGACCACTTGGGATTTGAGAGGCTGCACCGAAAGAATAGGGTGACGGCCTCTTTGTGGTTGGAAGAGTAGGGTGGGTTGGAAGAATAGGGTGAGTGCTTCTTTGGGGTTGCGGTACTTTCTCAATAAAACTTTTAGTAAAAGTAATTATTAAACGTTCAAGTACTTTTAAATATATTATTTAGAAACATAGTTAAATAAGTGTTTATTGTATTGGATAATATGTAATTTAAAAATTTTAGGTCCATTTATTTCTTTATTTAGTTTATAATATAGAATAAAATAATTTAATTTAATTTTTTTAAATCAAAAAACTATTTTAAAAATATAAAATTTGAATTTTTACTAAAAATACTTTTTTACATTAAAAGTTTCATTCTTAATTTTATGGAATAATATTCACCAAACACCTTAAAAATATTTTTAACACATAAAAGTATTGCAACTCCAATTGAGGCCTGAGCCTGAAACAGTTTTGTGGCTTCATTCAGATTGAATGATGTGGCAATTTTTCCACCACTCGATCTACAGGCCCACCTGTAGACCGAGTCTACACAAATATTTGCCCATCTAATTTACTATAGAGGGATAGGGAGGAGTTGGTTTGCACAAACCCCGTACTTCTAAGTGGGTGGGTGGGTGGATCTTTAAACAACTCCGAGGATATTAGTGACAATTACTAATTTTAGTATCTCGTAGTACGTAGGTGTCTGACTATTTGTAATGTTTAGGGCTTTCTCACTTGTCTTAACTTCGAGAGAGATCTTATCAAAAAAAAAAAAAACTTCGAGAGAGAAACTACACAGCTAATTTCCTGTGCTCTCGAGTAGGACTGCAAATGAGTCGAGCCAAATCGAGTTTTGGCCTAATCGAATCGAGTCTCGACATAATTTCATTGAACGAGCTGACAATTTCAAGCTCGAGCTCGAAAAAAATAAAAAATTATTATTTTATTTTTAAAAAAATAAATAAAATAATATTTATTTCTTAATAAAATATTAAGGATATATATGTAATTTTACTATTAAAATTTAAAAAAAAAAAATATATACTTAAAATGAAAAATATTAAATATATATATATTAATATTTTGAGTTCGAGTTCGAGCTCGATTTCAACTTGAACCAGTTCGAACTTGACTCGAGCTTGAAATTGATCGAGCTTGACTCGAATCACTCGCGAGCGGTTCGATTCATTTGCAGCCTACTCTCGAGAAACTAACCGGTCGATCGAGGGAATGAACTTGGAAGAAAATCCCAATGCCTTAAATCGCTGATCTCTCTATATATACTGGTCCACTAAAATGCATCGCTGTATCGCTGTCCGACCATATTACCATATACTAGTTGCTAGCTGAACCTTTTATCAATTAATTAATCTCCGAGCTTTTAGAGTTGAATCTTCAATGGCTTCCAATGAGGAGACGTCATTTGCTAGCAACTTTATGGTGCTAGCTCCGGAGAAAGCCACAATCTTCGATCTCCTTCATTTCTTGCTCTCCAGCCGTGCAGACAATAGAAGATTTATTTTTACCCCAAGAGGGACGAGGTTACCATTCCCTAAAAGGGTGGTCATAGTTGCTCTGCCGTGATGCAAATTATCTTGTCCATATTCGCAAGACCACTAGCATTGTTGGGGTATGCAATCGAGAACTGGCTTAACCTGCTGCACGTGAATGGCGGTTTTATGGGGCTTATCTTCAAAATCCTTCGGGTAGACTCTGCTACTTAGTTTTCTAATTAGTTATTGCTATTGCTTTTCTTTCATTCGCCTGACTTTTTCCAAGTTTCTTGCTACCTACTTTGCTGAATGCAAATATTATTTTGCTTTTTGGATAATTCATGAACATTGATCGATAAGAATAGAGCTATCAAAATGCCAAACATAAGGGCATGCTATCGTGCGTGTGTGATGGGTGCGTTAATCTGGGCGAGGTCTCATTCCAACATTTTACGTGGAAGTTCTCCCACTATCTTCCAAATCCTAGAAACCAGGGCGAGGCGAGTTGTGATAGGAGCAGTACTCCTTTGTTCCCCATTAATACCTCGATTATGTCGGGTTTCTTCAAAACGCAAGTCTCCAAACCTAGTACACTGTCACACAGCAAGAACAAACCTCCTGAACAAACGCAGACTGATATCAAACTAAATTGCAGCAGTGACTCTAGTTACACTTGAATAATGAAAAGCATGAACGTAAATTAAGATCCCTAAACTGATACCTGGTGCTAGAGAAGGTCTTGGTGTCTGACTTGCGCCTAGCTAACAGATCTAACATACTTGTAGTGTGAAGGGAATAAGAAATCAGTTATCGTTTTGTTGTACAGCATAACATTCTAGATAGGATTTCTTTTTCACTATATTTTATCGATTAGGTCATTAAAGATTACGAGTGTGCATGGTTGTTCCTTTAATTAAGGCTGTAAGGAGGTTTGTATCCATTTTTATCTTTTGTAGGGCGCCGACCAGAAAAAGTCCCAGATAGAGATTCGCCCAAGTTCCAGACGATGATTGGACTTTCAGATGATAGGGAAGAGCTGGATGAGAACATCCTAATTGACGATCCGAGATATAATTCGGCTCTCGCAATAATGGCTGCCAAAATAGCTTACGAGAACCCCGCTCATATTGAATATGTAGTCTCGCAAATCTGGAAGGTAAAACAGTTTTAGTTTCAATTTTCTATATATGTTACGTGTTTGTGTGCATGTTTTGTTCTTACTTATTCGACAACCTAGTGTAGTCATGTGACGGCCCCACCTGCCCCTAAGGTGAACCAGAGGGTTCGGCGGGTCACCTGCCCAACTCTCACCAGGACTAACGGTTCGGTATAGAACGAGCTAATACATCTCGAAACTTACCAACGCGGGTAAAAAAATAAAAAATAAAAAATAAAATCGAAGTCGGCTATGAATAGTAACCGATCCGTCAGAACCCAACCAAATACCAAGCAAACATTCCCATCTTGAAACTTAGCATTTACAAGCCAAAGTGGCATACAAAAGTATTCAAAAGTGGATACATGTCTGGTTTGCCAAATCAAAAGGAAAACAGTTCCCAAAAGTACATTTAAGATTTTAATACATGAGCTATACAAAAGATATGTTCAACTAGCTCAATTTGGCAGCCATTTGTCAAATCCAGTCCAAAAGTATTTATTTTCCTGTAAGGAAAACAAAAGGAACAGAAAGGGGTGAGCTTGCGCTCAATGAGGTACCAAACATATAGCAGAAAAATCATGGCATTTCACATTTAACAAATCAGATACACATGCCAGATGTAAAGTAAAGTAACTAATGATTCACATAGGAAGGATACAGGTGGCTCTCAGGAGCCAAATTTCCAGCGCAGTACTTGATCCAAACCGGTTGACTCTCCGTCAACGTATATAGAACCAACGCGTCCGTAGACCCACTTCGCACTGAATTTCGTCCACCAAACACCCCTTTACCGGCCCGCTCACCTCAAACGAACAAAATAGTAATACTCGAGTATACTCGGAATCAAGGGTCTCAATACCCAAAATCCCCGAACAGATACCGTGGTTCGTTATCTAATCGTCCAGGCCCTTGCCGGCCCGACTCGAATAACTTAGCCACAGGACTGAGCTCATAGGTCATAGAAATCCGAACATATGCAGACACAGATAACAGATTCAAATTTTGCATAGTAAATTTGCATATGAACAGACAAGAGAACGAGTTGATAAAGTACACCCTCGTCTCAAACAAATAAACAGATTGCAGAGCAGAAATCAAGTTAAACAGCAATGGAGGGGAGTGGTACACTCACAGGCTCAACTTCAAAAAGTTTCACTTCAGATTGGCCTTAATCGCTAAGAAACCCTAAAATAACCAAAATAAACCAATTGAAGGTTTCACATCCATAATCGGGTAAACAAAATGCACATGAGGCTCGACTACTAGTCGTATGCCTCGCCAAATAATTACTAATGCAAGGGTACAAAACATGATTTTTGGGAACAAAAAGATAGCATAAAGACCTAGGTTCAACAACCCAAAAGCCCTTTTATTTCTGCCAAAAGGCAAATCCAACTTAAAAGAACCAAACGGCCTAGAAAATCGGTCAGCACTTCCCCAAAATTTCTTACTTTTCCAGCCATTAAGGCTTCATTATTTCCTCGAATCAGTCCCAACATCTCACACAAAATTCACCTCATTTCCAAAAGCCATTCACTAGGCTCAAAGTAAAAGTTAACTAGGAAATGACCGGAATAAAAGTAAGCCTTAAAACATACAAATAAGTACAATGGGACTCGATAACTAATCATAAATCAATGCCAAATATGACCCCAATAGGGTTCCATAAACATATACAAACATTAGAGAAAACCAGAAAATTCGGAAATGCAATTAGCTTTGGCCTTGAAAAAAATAGTTTTTGACCTCTTTTTGCGGTAATAGCACCAAATGCCCTAGAATTATCGGATGAAGGTAAAAGACCCACCATTTTGAAGCTAAAAGATAGGGCTACAACATCACAGAAGGTCACTCAACCCATTTTTGAGTGCAAACAGGTCAAAAATGCTAGATACCACATCAAAAACGTAAAACAGATTCACCAAAACGCATTCTAGAGGAAACATCATAACTCAGGCTCTACAAGTCCAAATCTAGAAATTCCAAAACCAGCTGAAAGCTAATAAACAGGGCTAAATTTCATCAGAAGTCCTCAACAACCAATTCGGAAGTAATTCAGACCAAAACACCCAATTACAGTCGCAAATCTCAATTTCGGGTAAAACCAGAACAGCAATAGTAATTTCGACTTATCTCATTCCACACTACTCCGATTGATCTGAAATTTTGTAGGCACCTCTAAAATGTTATTCCCTACAACTTTCATGTTTTGAGCTAAGGCTAATTCGGCCTCTATCTATGACCTAAAATTTCAGACAGAATGAAGAACCAAGGAACCCTAATTTTCCAGATTTCTTCCAAACCCAAAATTGGTTGCAATTACCAATCATTTACACCTACTAGAGTTATTAAACATCATTTCCAACCATCATGGACAGCCACAACATCATGATCAAATTAAACCAGAAAAATCATCAATAAATTAAAAACTTCACCAATTCATCTCAAACCAATAAATAAACCACAAATTTCAGCACTTTAGCTCCCACTAGGCATAACTTAAGCTTCATTAAGTGTAGGAGGAAGTTCAATCACCACTCACCTAGTAAACAAGAGAGGGAGAGTTGTAGGACACCTTAGCTCCTCCAAACACTTCACCAAACCACTAAACAATACCAAATGAAGAGGTTTTATGGAGTAGAAACAAGTTTAAGGGATTGCTTGGGATGATTTGAGCTAGATGGATGCCAACCTTTGAAGAGTTTTCTTCCTTCCTTTGCTAGAGAGAGAGATCTGACCAACAAGGAGAAGAAAAGAGTGAATTTTTTGTGATTTTTGGGTATTTAATCAATTAGTCAAAAAAAAAGTCAAAAGGGTGAATAGTTGTCCACCAAGTCCAACCAATGGAAGAGTGACACTTGTCACTTCATTAAATGCATTCCTATCCCTTTCTTTTCCTCTCACATCAATCACTTCACATCCTCTACTTATCTCTTAACACCCGATAAATTTCAACCAGTATCCGAAATTTAACCTAATTGGCCGAATTTTTTCGAACTTTTCGCACTAGTGGGTCCCACGTCCAATATATATCCTTAATTTTTCAAAAACTCTCCAATACTAGAAAAATCATCTAAAAACATAATTACTCATAATATTCACCAGGAAAATTTTTTCCTAAGCCAGAAAATGCAGAAAACATGCCATTAAAGGGATAAACCCTAGGAAAATTATTAAGAGGAATTTACGGGTTCTCACAAGTCATCTCTTTAGATATCATGTAGTGACAATTGATGACCTCGTTAAAATACTTTTTACAGATAGAATTCATGGGATTTTACGAGTTCTGGAACGGTAAGTATTCCTTATTCCTACCTTACTTTTAAATTTTAATGGCTGCTTTATCAGAGAGGAATTTGCAACGATTAGTTATCCGAGAACACTTGTTTACAAAAATTAGCTGGGAATATACAGCTTTTTCATTAAGCACGAGTTCATAACTTTTGAGCATTCGAAACCCTATCCTCCTCGATCGTAATAGGTAATATACCATGTGAAAATAATTTATATTCCGGCCTTAAAAGGCTACATATGGGGTCCAAATAATGTCAATCTGGTGTTTTAAATTGCAGTTAGTTTGATGGTTAATTATTTTGTCTTTCAATCGGAACTGATCCTCCTCTGTGGTGGCTAGCTTTCCAAAGGAAACCAACAACACAAGCAATATTGTTTCGACAAAACAAGGACACGGACTCGGAACTGATATGTGTCGCCTTCAGAGGTACAGAACCCTTTGCTGCTGATGATTGGATTACAGACATGGATATCTCCTATTTTGAACTTCCCAAAGTGGGAAGGTGCATTCTGGATTCATGGAAGCTCTTGGTCTACAGAGGGGCAGTGGTTGGCCCGAGAACATACCCCAATCTGATAGGCAATACGCTTACTATACCATCAGGGAAATTCTGAAAGATGCTTTGAAAAACAATCCCAAGGCTAAATTTATAGTGATAGGTCACAGCTTGGGTGGTGCACTAGCAATTCTGTTTCCATCTATTTTGGCGTATCACGAAGAAAAGGAGTTGTTGGAGCGGTTAGACGGGGTCTACACTTTTGGTCAACCAAGAGTTGGAGATTCCAGATTTGGAGCATTCGTGGAAGACAACCTGGAGAGCAGGACGCGCAAGTACTTTAGGATCGTTTATTGCAACGATCTTGTGCCTAGAGTCCCTTGGGACAATTCATGGAGCGATTTTCAGCACTTTGGGAAGTGTATCTACTTCAACAGCCTTTACAGGGGCAATGTAATTAATCCCTTGGCATTGCCAAATTCATTTCTAATTTTCTCTCATCTGCAATGTGTATATATCAGTACCTAGGATTAAATATTTTAATTTTCCATGTGCTGCAGATTGTTGATGAAGTACCAAACAAGAACTACTTTTCAGTCTTCATGTTCATGCCAAAAAAATTAATTGTGTTTGGGAGCTTATGAGAGGAGGATTGGGATGGGAATGTTTATGGGATCTGAATACAAGGAATTGAAGCTTATGCGAGCGGTTTGATTTGCGGGCATCTTCACCATAGCCGGCCTCCCAGCACATGCTCCTCTGGATTATGTCAATTCCACAAGGTTTGCATCTCCGATTTGTACTCTTCCAAACCATGGCTTGGCCAATAAAAAGACCAAGGACAATTGGTTCTCCATAATCTATTTTCATGCAAACGACGGCCCAATGGTTTAAAAACATACTTTCAAGGGGGTGAAAAAAAAGTATGCTTGAGCCTACGGGATGCTGCATAGCTTTGTACTTTGCTTTAGTGTGTTTTTAATGCACGGCGGGCACCAAGTTCATGCTAAATTCTCCACCGTTTCTTGCTGAAGTTCTTTTATATTTTTGCTTTAAAAAGGAAAATGGGAAAACAAAATAAAATTTGAAGGCAAAGCATATCTTTAAAGATCATGGTTTTAGATCAAATCACCGGACGAGTCATATGCTTAGATAATTAAATTGCAGTAAAAAAAAAAGAGCGAGCCAATGGACATATTTATTTGTTTCAATCTAACAATTGAAAATTATGTATACAAACAAATGTGAAAGGAAACAAGTAGCATGTTCATTTACGAAATTACAACCTTCCAAAAAGGAATTTGTAAAGACAACGAGCAAAGGAGTAGGGGAAGCCCTAATCGAGAGAAAATCAATGGGGAAATCTTCTTTGAATTTAGATAAATAGAGGTCATATACGAATACAGAGTGCTTACACAAGAATTGGTGGAAAAGTAATTGAGAATTCAAACACAAAGATACTAAGCAATTATAGCATCATATGGATTATTTTTTAAAAAATTTTTGTCTCAAGCTATTTTCTCTTCATTTACTTATCCAATTTTTTTACTTGAATAATTCAGTCCGAAGAAATTAGGTGATCACACCATGAATGCGCTCTTAACTGGTAGATGGACTGTTGATCTTGATCCCTATCTTTTGATGTTTACAAAACAAATGGATGATACTAATATCTCTCCAAGAAATATTTTCAGTTATGAAGTTATGTGATTCCATGAACAAGTGCTATTGAAAGAAGACAAAGGTTGCTGAAAGCTGTCGGACGCTCAAAAAGACTGCATCGGACGTCCGACAACCATTGAGTATCTTTGGATGCAAAACCAGCCTGCCGGACGTCCTAAGGAATTGAAGAAAATTTTCAGTTTTACATCATACCTTCGGAGGCAGAAAACCAGCCTACCGGACGTCCGAAAGAATTGAAGAAAATCTCTTAAACTCTCTGCCTGCTGTCGGACGCACAAAACAGGGCTACCGGACGTCCGACACTGCAACGGATAGTTGATTGTTCAACTACTTTCTATCCGTTGGAAGCATTTATGAGGCACTTTCTTGGCTCTATATAAATAGTGGTTGGTCAGGTATTTCAAATAATTTTGGCACACTGAAGATACAAAAGATCTAGAGAGATTTTAGTGAGAAAATACTATTCAAAAAAGATTTGTAGTCTTAGTGGTGTGGGGTTCATTATAAACTTTTCATTTGTGAGTGAATACTTCATGAGTGTAGCTCTGTGAGGGTTATCCGAGTGATAGTAAAACTTTCTTGCTTGACCAAGTGCAGCTTGGGCGAGGAGAAAGTGATCATTCTTTTGTACACAAGAGTGATTGTAATTCGTCAACTTGAAATAGCTTGTTTGAATCAATCTACAAGCTCAAGAGGGTGGGTAGTTAATTGGTTTACAATTCTTTCCTTTTTATTTACTTATTCTTACGTTTATGATCTTTAAATTGTTTATCTCTTCTACTCACAAGCACCTGTGCTTTCTTATCAACTTCTCCATTGTGTGGTCGTCTAGAAAAGGGTTGTTTTCGGACCTTACAATTGGTATCAGAGATTGGTCTTCTAGAGATTAAGCTCAATCGGCTTTGGAGTAAAGATGACAACCAACAATACTATGTTTTTTGAAGGACATTCTGTCATTAGACCACCTATGTTTAATGGGTCAAATTATGTGAGTTGGAAAGAAGAATGATTATTTTTTTGCAATCTATTGATATTGAATTGTGGTTTATTATTAGCGAAGGTCCATATGATGCCTCTCTTATAGATGAAAATACTCAGAGATCTAGACCAAAAATAAGAAGTGAACTGACTGCTGCGGATAGAGCTCATCTCACATTAAATGCAAAATCCATGAATGTGTTATATTGTGCATTAGACTCAAATGAATCTATTAGAGTCAAAGGCTGCAAGTCAGCCAAGGAAATTTGGGATAAACTGAGAGAAATTCATGAAGGTAGTGAGAATGTTAGAGAACAAAAGAAGTCCATTCTAGTTACAAAGTATGAATCATTCAAGATGCAACCTCATGAAAACATTGATGAGATGTATTGTAAATTCAATGACCTCATTAAGGATTTGGAGGTGTTGGAAAAAGAATACTCTCTAGGTGAGAAAAACAGAAAAATTCTGAATGTTTTATCGAAGGATTGGGAAAATAAAGTAACTGCTATTAAGGAGGCTAAAGATTTGAATACTATGCCCATTGAATCTCTTATTAACTCTCTAACTTCTTATGAGTTGAAACTCAAGTTCAAGGTGCAGGAGGAAGAAGATACAAAGGTGAGAAAGAGTATTGCTCTAAAAGCCTCACAAGATGAAGATGATACAGCCTCCTTAGATGAAGATGACATAGAAGGTGATGACAGTGATATTGCACTCATCACAAGAAGTTTCAAACAAATACTCAACAAGAGGAGATTCAGAAAAATGGACCTAACAATTCATTCCCAAATCAGTTCAACAACTCGAAAAACAAAGGGAAGCTAGAGTTCAACAAAAAGCAAACTGATCAGTGCTTTGAATGCGGCCAACCTGGACATTACGCAAGTGAGTGTCCAATAAAGAAGAAAAAATGTGAAAGAAAACCAAGATTCAACAACTTCCAGTTCACATGGAATGAATGCAACTCCGATGGTGAAATTGAAGAGGAAGAAGAATCTGCTCAATTGGCTTTTATGGCCATTGGAGATGATGAGGTAACATCTTGTAACTCTCAATTTGAAAGTGATGATGAAACTGATGATGATCTTGAATCTTTCATTATAAAATTGCATGATAGTTTGAAAGAATCTTATGCTAGAAACAAGGAGTTAAAACAGAAAATTAGTTTTTTGCTTCGAGATAATGCAAATCTTTTTCAACAAAATAAAAAGTTGAAAGCTGAAAATGATTACTTCAAAAGAGTGAGACTGCTTTACACTTAGACCTTGATAGAAAAACAAAGCTTTGTGAATTGTTCAAAAAGGAACAATGTGATTTGAAAAGAATAATGGATGGTCTAAATGAGTTGCTTAAACACAAGAAACAAGTCTGTTTTCAAAAGAATAGGTTGAATTCTAATTCCAATGAATTTGCTATCCACAGGAAAAGGCAAGTCAGATTTATTAAACCCGTTCATGTGAATCACTCCTTGATTATGTGTAATTTCTGTTGTCAAAAAAGTCACATGAAAAGTGATTGATATGTGAGAAAAAATATAAAAAAAGGCATGAAATGCATGTGGATAGTTAGACATGATGCTAACTTTAACAAGTAGCAGATTTTGTTAATCATTGCAGTGATTCTTGTTCACAATATTTTTTTCTTTTGATATTTCTGATATTTTGATCTGAGTTTTCGCTGATATTTTTGAATACTACTGAATCTGTATGATGTCAAAAAGAGAGAAAAGAACTATTCTGATCTAACGATGATTTGCTAATCTCTCTGTGATATGTTGGTATGTTGGTATTGCTGCATTCTGGTATCATTTCTCTATTTTTGTTGGGAATATTGGATTCTCTGTTATTGTTGTTGGATTATGGGTACTGGTTATTACTCTCATCTTATGATGACAAAAAGGAGGAGAGATGGATGCAATGTGTAAGGGGGGTTATTATGAGATTATGAGTTTGGCTCTTAAAAATTTTGGTTGCGATGATTGAGGGGGAGCTTATACTTATTTTTGTTTCTTTCCATCCATTGTTTTGTCAACATCAAAAAGGGGGAGAATGTTGATCTTGATCCCTATCTTTTGATGTTTACAAAACAAATGGATGATACTAATATCTCTCCAAGAAATATTTTCAGTTATGAAGTTATGTGATTCCATGAACAAGTGCTATTGAAAGAAGACAAAGGTTGCTGAAAGCTGTCGGACGCTCAAAAAGACTGCATCGGACGTCCGACAACCATTGAATATCTTCAGACGCAGAAAACCAGCCTACCGGACGTCCTAAGGAATTGAAAAAAAATTTTCAGTTTTACATCATACCTTCGGACACAGAAAACCAGCCTATTGGACGTCCGAAAGAATTGAAGAAAATCTCTTAAACTCTCTGCCTGCTGTCGGACGCACAAAACAGGGCTACCGGACGTCCGACACTGCCAACGGATAGTTGACTGTTCTGCTACTTTCTATCCGTTGGAAGCATTTATGAGGCACTTTCTTGGCTCTATATAAATAGTGGTTGGTCGGATATTTCAAATAACTTTGGTACACTGAAGATACAAAAGATCTAGAGAGATTTTAGTGAGAAAATACTCTTCAAAGAAGATTTGTAGTCTTAGTGGTGTGAGGTTCATTGTAAGATTTTCATTAGTGAGTGAATACTTCATGAGTGTAGTTCTGTGAGGGTTATTCGAGTGATAGTAAAACTTTCTTGCTTGACCAAGTGCGGCTTGGGGCGAGGAGAAAGTGATCCTTCCTTTGTACACAAGAGTGATTGTAATTCATCAACTTGAAATAGCTTGTTTGAATCAATCTACAAGCTCAAGAAGAGTTGGGTAGTTAATTGGTTTGCAATTCTTTCCTTTTTATTTACTTATTCTTACGTTTATGATCTTTAAATTGTTTATCTCTTCTACTCACAAGCACCTGTGCTTTCTTATCAACTGCTCCATTGTGTGGTCGCCTAGAAAAGGTTTGTTTTCGGGCCTTACA